AGAGAGAGAGAGAGAGAGAGAGAGAGAGAGAGAGAGAGAAAGAGGGGAGATTGGTGATCTGCTGAGACGCAGGACACTCGAAAATTTCACCGACCAAGGCTGAGCACTCTTCGTTTCTCTCTCTCTCTCTCTCTCTCTCTCTCTCTCTCTCCCTTTCTCTCTCTCTCTCTCTCTCTTTTTTTTTTAGAGTGCAGCGGGTGTATAGTACTTAGCATGACCAAAAAAAAAAAAATTCAACGAAAAATCAATGCCGTAACAATGGCCCATTGTGTAATGCTCGATGAAGGTGAGACCCAAAAGAAAAGTTTCGAGACTCTTTCAGCCTCCTGGATCCGTGAGTAACTTTTCGGAAAATAAATGTTCGCGTGAGAAGAAACACAACTCGTGTTTATGAACGTTGATGTGCATTAATAAACGTATGGAATAATTAAAATGTTTTCGGCCTCTTCCCATTATCGAAAATTTATTGAACGTTTTAAATTCGTATTTAAGAGCAATTATAACAAATTCAGAAAATGTTGCGAAAACACCAGCGAATTTAATTAATGGAAATTACTATTTACAGGTGATTGATTGTACCTGTAATGAAAAATTGATATTCGCGCGCGTTATTATTTGTATAAATGAATAGAAGAGGCAGTAAAATTTAGACTAATATGAAACGATGCTTGTACCTAAAAATATTGCTAAGATATTTCATTAAGAAATATTGGTGAACAACATATACTGCTGAGTGGTACAATTGGGATGAATTAACGTTCAAGGTGGCAAACGGTATGCTTTTGTAATAATCATGATGAAATGATTATTGGTCGTCGTGTAGAATTATACCACGCATCATTGTACAGTGTTCGATCATATCACGATCGTTACAAACATGATGTTTCATCCGGTTTAATCATGTTAATCGATGGAAATTGTACCACTGAACAGCGATAATATGTACAAACATTATCGTTCACTGATATTCACACGTTAATTTACATCGACGATACGCGCATTAATTATAATTATGCGCTATAGGTAGAGGCAAACATTTGTAAATATTTATTTTTCATTAAGTCGCGAGGACATACATAGTGTAAATACCCTGGGCAAATACACTTTCGAATCGAACGTTTATTAAATTATTGGAGTTTTACTGAAGAGGGCTTACAAGGATCCTGAAAACATTATAATTATTAATAATCTCTCGATGGCTAGAAATATGAGTTGCTTTTATTTTCGAAAACGGTCCCGGGCTCCGCTGGGATTGCAGTTAGCTTCATCCAGGGGTTTGATGACGTGCCGATATCGATGCACTGACTCTTCAAACCCCTGATTGCTGACCCCAAGGACTGCTGGAAACGCGAAATACTGGTTGTTGCAAAACTCTCCCAATATTCATTCGGAATATATCAGATTTTCCAGCTTTCGACAGTCGAAACCGTCAACTAAAAATACTGAGACCACCAGGGAATAGGATGAAAGGAAAATGTTCAACAATGCAACAATACCTCTCAACAAAAAGCCGCCATACCTAGTTTCATAACTTTTCCATAAATCACTCATAAATACATGAAAATTTTCTAACAGGTTCTACTTGGACTCAGGATCCAATCGCGACCAATAGCAATGTATCAATCAACAGCTGGGAAAGTAAAAGCTCTGGACAACCTTCCAAAGTCACCCACCTACCCCTTCATCTTTGAATACCTGCAGAAATGCAGAGTATTTGAAAGAGGGTGATGTGTTTTTGCAGGTGATCGAGATTAGGCAGAAGTGGTTCTTCCGTCGAGATACGGCAAACTCTCGCAGCAGGAAGGGTCACTGCACAGTGCAGCAGGGGAGAAAACTGGGTGAATGAGGTTGCTGGAGAAGAGCATCAGCGGCAGCGGCGGCGGCGGCGGCGGTGGTGGTGGTGGTGGTGGTGATTCTGTCGTCGCCGCCGTGGCTGCTTCTCCGACGAGTTATTTTTGGAATCGTCGAATTAGGCATTCAGGACAAGTATCAAGTAGGTGTACGGATTCTGGTACGAGGAAATTCTCGCGTGAGAAATGTCCCCGGTCGAATCGTGTGACGAGTTAAAAGTGGATGATTACAAGGTAACGGATTATCGATTGGAAAATATTTAAGAAGGTCGGCGACGCCACTGACCTTCATCCCCGGGGAATCTATATACGAAAATGAACACAGCGATGGATCCCCTCTGTTTTCCATCGACGCACCATCGACCCAATGGAAGCGTTCATTCTAAACGAAGGTGCACGCACCACCACCCACGGTCTCCCTCGACAAACAAACGTTGACGCGGACGACGAGTTCTAGAAACTTTCTCTACGAAAGTACCTGAGTTGTCTACGTCTGAGAAACCCTAATCCCCTCGCAAATAAGAAAGTGGAACGAGCTAAATCACGGTTTCGTGCATCTCCACGCAGAATCCCAACGATAGTCTCGAAGCAACTAACCCTAAGGAAAATAGAAAGATTTAAGGCAAGACCATAATAAGTGGTTGGCGTTGAGGGCCAGACGTGAGACAAATTCGCGTAAGAATCTCGTCCATCCCCTTGACAAAACAACCCCTCTTCTAAGCAGTTTTCAACCGCGGGAGAGAAGGAAGATGAAGAAGGACGACGAACAGAGCGAGGCTGTTGGTACAGAGGGGGTACGAGGGAGAGAGAAATCTTCGACGAGCCACGTGGTGCGGCGTGCGCGGGACAATCAATGCAGTGACGTCACTGGACGTCCGACCAATCGCAGGATAGCTCCATTCAAACCTAGCAACCTCGGCCTCCGAGTGGAAACCCGTCGAGTTCCATCGGACTTTAGCCCGACTGCAGTTCGGCCTCGATCACTGAGACGCGCGAACTCGGACTCTTTGCTCCAGCCGATTGTCGGGCAGATTCATCACAGAAAATATTCGAACTTGATCGAAATTCGATTAGGAACAGTCTCGTACACCTCTCTAAAAGTAAATCGTGGTAAAGCGCCGTGGAAAAATTCAACTTTTAAACCATTAGAAGCTTGAGTCTTTGTCAACGAAAATTTAGACGCGATTACCTTGACAGGTGAATTGGTACCGAGGCAACGCGATTCGGAAGGAGGAGAGAAGATACGAGGAACTCTGACGAAAGGGCTGGATGGTCCGGAGTGTACGAAAATCCTGTCGCTAAAGAGGATATCGAGAGTTATCAGCTGCGAGGCGTCTCGTCTGTTGTAAGTAGCAAGTAACGGTGCGTTTCGAGTGTAAAAATCGTCGCGATTTCTTTTCATTCACGGACAAGTAAATAGTAACAGATGGTACTTGTGACAAAATTGTTTCAGACTCGACGGTACGCTAGTTTGAAGACGGAAAATATCGACGAATCGGAGTTAATTTTCGTACGCGCACCGAAACGAAATCGTCTCGATCGGAAACACTCGACTACCCTGACAAACGAGCACGTGGGGGCGAGGGAACCCAAACACACGCCCACGCAAAATTCTCGCTAGACAAGACCACGGCTACGGAAAGGCACGCATAGTTTTCCCTTTCGTTCGAGATCGAGACGTGACGACCCTTCCCTCGGTCACTGGAGAACGATACCGTTCGAATAAAAATTAGGAACCTTGTCTCTCCGTTAATTAAACGCCCCTCGATACGTGCACGACAATTTCCTTTGTTTCGTACAACGCAAACTCTCGATAGCCTGTCCTATCGAGAATCTAAAGGTCATTTTCACCGGTGAACACGTCCTTTATAACTTTTCCAAAGCGAGATCCGTGTCAAAGGTAGGTTGTTAAATGTTTCCCGTCGGTCGATCGACCAATTAATTTGAAATATTTGTAAAACGAATCCAGTGGACCCGCAAGCGTCGCACGACTGTGGCAAGTACACCGTCATCGTCCTAGTTTTCATACAGTGCATTCGATTGAGCGAACTGGTCACCGTTTTCATAGTGCGACGCGAACTGCGCGAAATTTGGAAGAGATGAGTCGCTAATACACGATCCGCAATATTCCCAAAATTTTCGATACGGTGGCGCAACTTATCGATTCTTGCGATAAAATTCCATCAGCTAATTTAATGTTTTGAAATTCGTAAGAATTCTTGTCTTTGGTACCAGTGAATTTTTGCGAACATAGTTATTGTTAAAAGTAGAGTCCATTTAAAAAGTAGAATGCGCGTCTCCTGTTCTGGGAATTTCCAGTGGTACTCTACATAAAGGGGCTCGTCGACTCTGACGATAGCGAACAAAAATGTTGTTCCTATCGCCAATGGTCCCCCGAGGAACCAGCTCGTGACTATTTACGTGGCTCCCTGAATACGATAGTAGCGTCAGAGCGAGTTTGGACCATCGGATCGAAGATAAAGCAAGGAGTGCGTTACTTGAAGCGTTTATCGCAAAGCAATTTTCACGGTGGTCGTTTAGCATCGTTTATTCGATCAAAGTATGGTGGGCTAGTTGTCCTCGTCATCCTGCACCTTCTAACAACACCCTTTATCCCTTGACAGTCCTATGCCACGACCCTCCTGTACCCCTCTTTTCCTTGGAATGCACGTCACCTCGGGGGAGGTGATGACGTCAGTAGAATGCGGCCACAGGATTGGCTCGTACCTCACTGACGTCATAGGGGCTGACTCTATACATGCGCCTGTACCCCCAACCCCTAACTCTTCTCATGCTGGCTGCAATAGGCATCGAGAAATGGTGCATGACAGTTCAAAGCCCCAGTTTCCCAAGGCTGTGCAAACCGAGAGGTCGCCGTACGTTTCACCTTCTTCGCCTCCCTGTTATTTCTTCCTTTCCCGCTTCTGCGTTTCTTTATTCTCGCTCCTACCTCCGCCAGCACCGCATCCCCCGTTTCTTTTTCCGTCGTGGACGTTTCGCAATTCTATCTCATTTCATCTTGCTAAAAGATTCACACGCTCTTCTTAACTAAATTCTCTGGAAATCTTCATTGAATCTTCTTACATCGACTCTTCATCGACATTTCGATCGACCCCCCATTCGAGCAAGATCCGCGCTCGCTTCGAATAACCCAGGATACACTTTCGTCGGCGAGGTTTCCTTCGAAATCATCGCTACAAACGCTCCAAGGGAAAGTGATCTTCAAGAATCCTATTCCCTGACCGTAGTGTCTTCGTTTCGCGAGTGATAACGTACCGCGAGTGATGGGAAAGGCACTTCTGACGAAGATGTGCGTGGATTCGCCGCGTTCCCCGTGGTCCTCCTAGTTGCATCGCAGATCGGATCCGTTCGCATTTACATCCTTGGTTGTGTGGCATCGAGTTTCATAAATAAAGCCCCATTGAAGAGGAGCTCACAGGGGATGGAGTAGCATGACCCGGTGACCCAGATTTCCCATGACTTGCGTCATTCACAATCTCTCCCCACCAAGGGGTACGGCAACGACACGCATCTAAAATAGAGAGGGAAAGAGGATAAGTGAAAGGGACGGGATCAGACCGATTGCGAGCGAGCGGGAAGATGACAAACAGCGTGGTGCATTTCCTGCTGAGCAACCTCCGTTTTCGGTTACCACTTTCGGTCTTCTTTCAAGGCCGTGAAGCTGCGTCCGGTCGTCGGAGAACGCGATCGATCGATATCGACAGTGCGTATTCGCGAGGAACAGTGTCTCAGTGTCCCCGCGTTCTCGTTTGATCCATCGCCAAAGCTGGTAGACTCGTTTGCAACAATTTCCTTTAACGGTGACGATATCGCGAGGTAATTCCATCGAGAATCTCTGCTCGAGAATTTCTGCTTTTTTCCCTTGGAATCGACCATTGTGCGCGGCCAGCCGTAGAAATCTTCTCAAAGATCGAAGTCGTTGCACTTCTGCCAAAATGTCCAAGCACCATGGCTATGCTGTTGCCTGGCAACCATCTTGGGTCAATGGAATACGCGTTCATGGGAGAAACTGGGTCAACCCACGAGATGTTCTAGGTATCTCCTTAAGTTCTTCCGCTGAAAAGATTCGCGATGCTCCTCGTCCTAGACGCGGTAACCGAGCCTTCAATTTTTTCCGCGCCGCATTTTCCCGTCGAACAATGGCCCCCTGAATTTGAGAGAATCGCTCCCTCGCAAGAGCCATGCATTTTTCATTGATCGTATCATGCTCGAAGGTAAATCGTTAAAATTTCCACACTTCTAGATTGTATCCCTCGATGTCAAATTTTCATTCTATAGCGCAAAAGTATCCTTGAAATACTCGAAGAGATGTCAGAGCAAGTTCGAAATCGCTCGAGTAACTTTTGCTTCTATCGTTGAAGTCTCCCGTCGTTGAAAATCTTGGACAAGCCGCCCTTGGCTCGCCTTCTACTGACCCGAATATCTATGCATTAAACGGGGCGCTATTTTTAGAACCACCCCCGATGAATGACCCCGACGAGCGCGGCGCAAAGAAGTTTGGCTCTAAACGCGAGGAATCGAGAAATTGGACATTCTATTCTTATCTACTCACAACAATTTGGGAAATTAAACTATTCGCCGCATAGAGTGACAGTCGAAAAAACATTCTCGATCCGTGACACCTGAAATGCGGTACTAGTTCGTCTTTAAAGCGTGTCAATTGACCTTTAGAATGCGCCAAGCACGCTCGTACTATTTATAACTTGGAAATTTCACATTTCAGTTTGTACACCGTGCTATTAATACCTCGCTCGAACCGGTAATATGTCATGAATTTTTCACGATTAAAACACGAAGATTGCTCGCCATCCCTCGGTCTCTCATACTTTCCTCGTCCCAGTTTCTCTACATCGTCAGCCTCCCTCTTCGTGGCTCTGATCGAAACGAGTTCACTGCCCTGGTATAGTTTACTTTCTTTACAGTTTTCGTTGACGTCATATAAACTATCTACGTCATCGACGCGACGCTATCGACAACATTGCGGATCAAAACGACGCTGTATGTTTTTCTCGAAACACGCTGAACGCGATTCATCGATCTCGCGAGAAATCGATACGTGTCCCCGCACGTAGAATCGTTCGACGAAGTGGCAAGTTAAAAAATTGAGTAAGTAATACACGCCTATGTATATCGAATGTCATTCTAAATTGTATCGAGAAGTATATTAAAAGAAAGTTCGATTCGTCGTTGGGGAAAACTTAGTGTAGGATAAACGCGAGTTATCGCAGCGAGTAGCATAGGGTTAAAGGTAGGAAGGTGAGAAACTGCAGTACCGAGGAAGGTCGATAAAAGCATGACACATCTGTAACCGTGGCGCAAGGGTTGGTAAGGGGAAACAGGTGGTTTGGTGACCATTGGTAAGGCTGGAAAGAACCACCTGGAAGCATAGTAGAGAGACTTCGAAGTCTGATCTGCAAAGGGTTCTGGTATTCGAAGGGCCATTGTCGGTGCGCTGCGTGACTTGTCTGACCGAGCACGGAACTCCTCTACTGCGATTCCAATGTCCCACATACGAATAAAAATTTTGTTGAATACTTCGTACCGACTACAATTAACTGAGATAGTGTTTCATCATGTAGCCTTCTATTAATCATCTCTTTATAGCAATTAACTTAACAGAGATCTATAATCGTAGAAATCAATGTTTCTAAACTAGGGGTCGTAATTGTGCCTTTATGATTAGATAAGAATTCGCCTTATTTCGTGGCTATTATTGTAATTCACGATTGTTCAGCATTATAGACGATCAAGGGCAATAAGATTCATCAAGCAATATTATCGAGCACAAAAATTTTTCTAATTCCGATAGTAATACATCGAGATATGTTAACATTTTGATGGTATATCCAAACACGCACAGTTTTCTACTATTACCATACATCAATCGTTTCTTGATCTACTGCTACTTCATATTTAATCAAACGATGGACGTATACATGTAAGCAATCGCAAAGCATTGCTTTCGTTTCGTAAAGAAAACATTTCAACGTTTGTTGGAACGTATACCATTGTACAAGAGTAATTAACTGTACTCCTTTCTTTAATTTACAATCGACTACAGTTAATTGCTTTTTGACCAACAATTAGGGAAAGACGTATACCGGATATTTTGAAATGGAAGTCGTAAAAACGAGCGGAATCTCGGTTAGAGCCGAAAAAATTTTAATTCACAGTAGAACTCCATTTTTCTACGCCAATGAGATTGACAAGGCTTCGCGTGGGGCGGATGAGATTAATCCCGTTTACCTCAAGCAGATTTAAGGCTTCTTATGCAACATCACGCGCGTACATACGTATGCACCGACTATGTTTCTACGTACACCGTTCACCTGTCCTTCTGCAAAAGGGAAATACATTTCTTTCGATCAAATTAGCGAAATTGCTGCGATTAACGTGGATAACCGTTGTATTCTCCATTAGAATATTAGAAGAAATATACATTCTAAAAATGTAATTCCCTAGCAGTGGTCACGTTATTTAGATAAATTACGAAATGGAATAGTGGTAGTAGACTTATTAATAGACGCAATGATATATCACCGTTCAGGCAATTTTAATACATCGAAATATCATCGAAGAGAGAAGTACGACTCAAATTGTAAAAATATGTAGCTCTCGAGACAAGTTATTAGCTATCACGAACCTACGCGTTTTAATGTTCTGAAACTATGGATAGCAGAAAGCGGCACAAGCGAAACGTCTTTTCCAAGGGCCTAGGGTTTGAAATCCCAACTGGCATCCACCCTTCTGACACGTAACACCAATCTGACGCTGCGGCGATCGGTTGTCCACGCACTGTATCGCGTAACAAATTCCTCGTACAATGGCGTCAGTAGCATTATTTTTCTACAGACAAAATATTGTATTTCGTTACGTCGTCTATAGAGATCTCACCGACCATCCTCGAAGACGTAAGCTCTCAAAACTTGACTATATCGCTACTTCGTCACATCGGGAAGAAGACGCAGCGAAGGAGGATGGATAATACATAGGAAAGCCGTCTTATGTTTCTGTTTTATTTCATCGTACAATTGCGATATGAAATATGACATAAACTTAAGGTGGGTACCTATATGATCGACGAACCAACACGATCGACGTGGGACCGCCACTTTTCACGACGAGAATTACAATGGAAGATCGAATTCTGTGAGTCAAAAAAACAAGCGGTGTCCAGAAAGGTACTTTCCAATTTCACGAATTTATTTCTATTTACTAATTAATCGCATTCAATATTTCTAAAGGGTTGTCTAAAGGACTCTTTACCATCGAAATGCTCACTGAGCACAGACATTGTTCCATACAAATTATGTAAAAGTCGTTGATTTAATCTACTGAATCGGAAAATACCTTTACGAACACCCCGTATGGAACTGCTGACGAATGACTAAAAGAATCGTCTCTAAACTTTTTCGTGGACGAGGTATTACCGTTACGTTTACTCTAGTTAATCTAAAATTAAGTTGTATGCATTGAACTTGACTGAATTAGACTTTTCACTTGAGTATAAAATACTATTCAAACGAAGGCTCTAACCACACGAAATGCTTGCAAAACGGGAGTCTCCTGATGGGAAGTCTTAAAACGTGTTTTTGTATATACATAACTACACTGCGGATCTTTATGCAAAATAAAATCTTCGCGAACGAACGTGCCTACAAACATTGAACCTATGTAAGAATTTATTTTATTCAGCTAATATTATAACATGAACTTTACTTTCAATCTTTTTTATATTCTTGCATATTGTTTGCATTTTGTAGTTTCTTGCACATTCAAATTTCCTTTAAATGCATAAAGATCCGCAGTCTATACATACAACAGAATGTCTCTTGCAATATTCTCGATTGCAACATCTTCCTTATAGGACAGAAAATTAAATTAGTTCTATTTCGTAGCCATTGATTTTCGTCTAATTTTTGTTCGTCGAGCCTCTAAAATATTGGCGAGCACTGGGTAAACACCCAGTATACAGGGTGTCCCGTAACTGGTGGTACAAGCGAGTAGGGAGCGATTCTACGTAAAAATTTGAATCGAACATGTAGAATGAAATTTGTTCACGTGACGGTTTATTTTCGAAAAAAGAAATAAGTTTGAAAACTTGTCGAGTACGCGTGTACTTGAACCAGTTTCAGCTCGACGGATGTCATTCTAGATCATAAGCATAAGAAAAATGTAAAATCAATGTAAGAGATATCATGTTGACAATGTTTGTAAACATCCCATGAAGCAGTAAGAAAGTAAAATCCATCGAACTGAATCCGAATCAAGTACACGCGTACTCGACAAAATTTCAAAGTTACTTCTTTCGAAAATAAAGCGTCACACGGCAAAAATTTTATTCTGCATTTTCGATTCAATTTTTCGCGTAGACTCACCTCCCACTCGCTTGTACCGCCAATTACGGTACACCTTGTATAAATACCGCGATGGCTTCAATTAGAGAAAGACAGTTCGTCGAGGTAATTAGAATGTGGAAGAAGAAGTTTCCTGGCCGTGGTGGAGGAAAAACGGAACAGCGAGGAATGACGGAGTCAGTGGAGGAGTCCCAGGTTGGGCCAGGCAGACGTGAAGCCTGAGGATACGGGGGTGTTAAGCCCTGAATCCTGAAAAGTGTTCCAGAGCTTACTCGGCTAGTGTTACCCCCCGCCACCTACGTTCTCTTTCTCTGGCTCCTCGTCGCCGTTGTTCGCTCGAGCAGAGGGAACAATCGGCAGGGGCGTAAGGTTGGCTCTATGCCTCCTCATCTTCATCCGCTTCTCGCATTCCACCCTTATTACGAACCGAGCTCCTTCGCTAACGAAACTACCTCCCTCTTCGAAGTCTCAAATTATAGGAGAGGGTTGAACCGTGCCAATCGATTATTAATCGACGTACGATGATCGTACGTGGATCGATACATTTCCCTTGGTCATGTACTCCTGCAACTATGTGCTATGCAACTCTTGTAACGAATTTATCAATAGAAGGACGACTCGATTGCCCGCGTCTTTTACATCGAATCTTTCGCGATCCCCTCGAATCGTACAGTCCCAATGATCGCACCATTTATTTTGAGAAGCACTATGCTAATCAACGAAAGACGAGTTGATAATTAATAACTACATCAAGAAACGTTAGAGCTTTCTCTTGGACGCTTTCGCCTAGCACCGATGTACCTTACCACGCGTCTCCGGCGTTCAACCACTCTCCACGAAATCTTAGAAAAATCTTCAGGGCACGTTACTCTCTTACGATCTACTTACGCTGACAATGGAACCCAGCTCGATTCTCGCCCAGCGACTACGTCTCTCGTGTCTTTTATCACATGACCTCCTTCGTGGGAAGCCGCAAAAGTTCGGAGACAGTCTGCACTGATAATATCCCCGTTACCCTTACTCCATATCCGCGATTACGTCGATTCATTGGAAATTATCAGTAATCGAAGGAAAGGACAACCGGCGATACCGAACTTTCTTGTTTTCAAGGGTTCAAAGCTTCTGAGCTTTGCACATAGAAGCGTAACTGTACGAAATTTCATAATTTTCTGATAAACCGCCCCCCAAGATACAAAGCAAAACAAAGACCAAGAATATTCTAACTAGTCTTTTTTTGGCATTCTTGGACACGAGGCACTAATATCAAATTTTGACCGATATGACACATCTCCCTCTTTTATTATCTTTGAAAGCGGAATTTATCAAAGCTAACAAAATTTAGGGAGGTAGAGCGGGAACAGAGACTGGAGCGAATTAAAACGTTCTCCCAGGGATGACAGTTCCGGAATTTAGCGCAACGGTGATTGTTCGGGACAAAGTATGAAAATTAGGTCATCCTAATGCCGGATCCGGCTATTTAACGAACGGGGTACCCGCTTCGCGTCGGTATGTATGCGGGATACGTTTTAAGGATTCGCCTCTTCACAATATCATTAAACACTACCACAAACAAGGAGACTGCCGACAGGCGACAATAGCCAGGTCACAGGGTGAACTAGAAGTTATATAACGTTGGAAAACGTGCACGTAACCGACCAAATTATGAACCAAACGTTTCGCGGAAATCCCTGAAACATTTCCATTGAATGGTCCTTCGTTCCGCGCATCGTATTCGATACATTTATCAAAGTTAAAGTGAAGCTTTCTACGAACTGACCCCTTGCCAAAATCAGAATTGCAGAGTAGAGTCTCGATATCAAAATACTTTCCACGATAGCGAAATTCTAAAGGAGAAACAACTATCGCGATAGAGGCTCAAGGATGAATCGAATATTCCCTCGAAAACTGTAAAAAAAAATAGCGAGTATTGCCTGGAAACGCGAGCGTTTCAGATACGTAGAGGAGGGGGGAAAAAAAGCATCGGGAGCATAGTTACCGTTTGCTATTCGATCGTCCAACTTCGGTAACGCAAATACGATTTCGTACGTAATGCCTGTGCCCTTATTTCCCAAGGAACACGTGTCTTGTGGCCTTAAAGGGAAGCGTTGATTGGTCGGCGAGGCCTAAACCTACCCCGTCATTGGTCGATGGATTAGATGACCACGTGGTGCCCTGGTATATAACCAAGGGTGAACTAAGAAGGTATCGGCAGTTGTGCACGGAACATGGACAGAAGTGCGATCATTTTTTATTAACCTGCGTCTAGCTTCGGTCGCGTAGTGATACCGAAACTACCCCGAGGGGAACATTGATCAAGTGCGATTACTTTGCCGCGATACGAGTTCTGCTTGACAATTTTCACGTCGTCGAAACGAAGATCAGTGATAGATAAATATAAATACTCGGAGTAACTTCAATTTCGATTACTTCGCGTGAATAAATCGCAAAAGATCGACGGAGTGAGTGGAGGAACGTACCTGGACCGGTCGAAAGGTGAACCTTGATACGTCTGTGTAAACTCTGTATCGTCAAAACGATTCTTTTTCTTTTTTTACTATGGAAAGGAGAGCCTCGAAACCCTGTGATCGGGGAGAGCACCTCTGAAGCTTCCGCGAAGCTGACAAACCGTTGAAATGTTCGCGCTATCTATGCTTTCTCGCGCACGATTGTTAGAGCGATGTACATTTGAGAAAAACACCCTTTCGCGATATCCAGAGCGATGAAACTTCCGAGAATGTTACAAAAGAGTACGGTCATTTGTTCCTCGATGGAATAGGTCGCGATCGGGCAACGCTATCGAGGCAATTATTCAAAAAAAAAATGGAACTCTATCACTTTCCGTACGGTCAGCGTAGTGCCTTTCGAGAGGGACAGCAAATAGAAGAGTAGTTAGGGCTCGGTGCGTACGAACCACGGTAAGTTTATCGTAGAAATGGACGGGTAGGAAGATCGAAGACGATGAATTTTATATAATAGTCGAACTACCCTATCAACCTATAGAGCCAACAGATGTCCGATCCCCACAGGTAATCTTGGCGCGGACACACTTTCCATGCATTTGCGCGTCGCATTATTTCTTTACGTTAAGTGGTAGAAATACGTCGATGTAGATCGAAATATCAACAATATTTTGAAAATGTCGATTAATATTTTGTAGTTAGCGTTTTCGTTCGAATTGAACATTGAACAAAGTGAACAATGCGATGGTAGCCTCGAGGAGAGTTAAACCGAATTTTTTAAATATTTACCGCATAACACGAGACTACCGTCCAACAGCGAACACAGAAGAAAATAGGCCACACCGCTGTATGTGGTAAGAGATCGTGCTTCACTCGCTTGTCGCGATACCTATACCTACTCCACTTTTCTTTTTTAACTCTGCTACTAGCTGTGGCAGAAGTACGTTAAACAGCAGTAATAAGGGTAGCGATGATAATTACAGCGACTACATATTTTATAACAAAGATGGAGCCCGTATAATCGTTTCTAAATGGACTTCGAATATTTTCAAACGAGTAGATCGCAAATAGCGAAACTATTGTTCACTTGTGACTTCGTATCCTATTATTTCTTTAATACCTCGAGTGCCGAGCGAGTTTTTCATGTCTTGCCGCGAGGCGTTCTGGATATTATTCTGAACATGTTTACAAACTATTCTGTGAATGTTAGAAGGATTCGATACTTTAATGGTGTACTTAATATTTTACAGTATTCCTGATGTTTACAAATATTTGTGGTAAAAGTTTGAGGGAAGTCTTGTAAGCTAGGAGTGTCTCTGTACCATGACTTACTTGCTACTTCTCAGAGTATGAAATGTTCAGGGAAACGATTTTTCAAAGGAAAACTAGGAAATGGAAATCAACCCGATATGGACCTCAGTGCAGCTGCTGGCCACTGCACAAGATTAGACATAAGACTCTTGTGCGTGTGACAGCGGCTATGATGGGGCATCCGTGGAACATCGATGAAATGATGACACCTATGTATATCCTTCTCGGAGTGTGGCTACTGAATCTTTGAAGCAAACAGTGTCACTACTTTAACCTATTGCGAAGCTTATATTGATCTTTATTGCCCTCTTTTCTATTTCACCATTTGATGTAAAGAATTTAGGACATGTAGAGAGGAATACAACCGACTTTGATGGTGGTTCTGATAGGAGTCTAAAGTTGAAAAGTAACAGCAATGATGTTCCGTGTAGTTAAAGTTAGATCAATAGACATCAATAGATATTTAACTGTTCACAGTGTTTCCTTGTGAATTGACAAAAATACTCTACACAGTTTTACAAATTGTATTGCACACATTTACTGGATATAATAAGTCCACAAATATTTAAATATGTATGTATGCAAATAAATTCTTCTTAAAACTAAGATCTCTATTCAATTAATAAAGTTCCATCATACTAGTGAAGAATTAGACTTCCCTATAATGGAGTAAACATCCAAAACATGAATTGCATCGAGCTCTTGACTGGTTCATCCCAGTATTATCTCAATATTCATTAGTATTTCGATTCAAGGGTTAACAAACTTTAAGGCAAAGGGACTTACAGTAATTACGTTACTACGATATAACCTATAAACTATCCTAAGAGTCACAGAATACGTATACCTGTTTGCCTGTTCAGTCTCGCACATAACCTATAATGTGTAATCAATCTCTTAATTTCCTGTAACGAATCAATGCATTGTAAGGGAAAATTAAAGAGTTAAATTTAAAACAGACAAAATATACAGCTAAAAATGAAATATCATTATGAAATACTGTCAAATTTACAAGATCGACTGTGCGATGTAACATTTACAATACCTCGAATGCTGATCAGCACCAGAGTTAAACTCAAACGTAATTAAAACATAAACGTATTCAGAGGTCAGGTTTCGAAAAGCTGCATAAAGGAAGAAATCCATCTTCGTACATTCTAATCAGAATCCATCACAAAACAATTCATCGCGAATGTTTGGATCAGTTTTAGCCATTTGTAGACACTTGCGTAATCTAGCGTCACGTTCTATAACTACTCAGTTTTGTAAAATTGTATAGGTATCATTCGCAGAAAGATTTTTGAATTTACGTTGCTCGGTTAAGCAGTCTTTTTAAATTAGCACAAGTGAAAATGAAAATATGAAATGCGAAAATATTTCAAACTATCTACGTTTTTGCTTTAGGTGCTAAACGCCTAAACAGTGACGAATTAAAAATTCACAGCAGACGGCTATGCTTATAAATAAGTTTGTAAAATGATAGTTCGAGAAAAATATAAATAATTCTTACAGACGAAGCACAGACAAACGAAATGTTTGGTTTATTTTTTGTAGTCACATTCAAAAGGTCGTATTTCTGGACTTGCGAATTTGTTAAATTAATGGCGTTCGTTCGCGCTTGCGTGCAAATCGACCATCGTCTACACTCGGCGCAGTATGTTTTGAAAGCGCAAGTCAGATTCGTGGCTCTCTTGTAGGTTCTGTAAACTATTACAAGATCAGTGTCACCTGTGATCTCATACCCTTCCTATTTACTATTTTACAGTACGAAACGCAATTCTACAAAAGGCGCCATGAGTCTCGTTAGACAGAACTTTCACGAGGAATGCGAGAAAGCTCTCAACCAGCAAATCAATCTGGAACTGTACGCCAGTTACGTCTACTTATCTATGGTTAGTCAACGTATCGATTAAGTCGCTATTTTCAGCCTCGAATTATTCTTTCGCAAAGATGCTTTCAATAAAACTAAATCAACATTTCCCTCGCCTTCTTTATTTCACTGCTCATCGATCGAATACTTTTATTAATACAGTGATTAACGTCGCTATTTTCCAGGCGTATTATTTCGACAGAAGTGACGTCGCGCTAGAAGGTCTTTACAAATATTTCAAAAATGCTTCTGACGAAGAAAGAGAACACGCTATGAAATTTATGACTTACCAAAACAAAAGGGGTGGATGTATCACGCTAACAACCATAGATTGCCCGCCAAAGAATGACTGGATTAGCGCCAAGGATGCTATGACGGAAGCGTTGGAGCTGGAAAAAAAAGTTAACGAGGTACGTTTACACAAAGATAAAAAAAGCTATCGCTACGTTTCAATTAATTTTAAACATTTTATTAATGCATCCGTGTATATTTAAATGATCGATTTCTCATATACTTAAAAAAGAATTAATGATTCGATTCTATATATCAATTTGACAAACTTAGTAATGCTACTACTTTCGATGTTTAGTTCGAAATTGCGTAAAGTAACTTTTTAGAACGGTTACATTCAAATGGGGGTGTAACTCAGTGGTAGAGTGTCCGCTTCGCATGCGGAAAGTCCTGGGTTCAAATCCCAGCTCCTCCAACTATCTTTTTTTCTTTTTATTTATTTATAATTTAATCCACCCTACTGCACTAACAATGTACTTTCTCGTTTAAATGAGATTTCGCTTTTATAGTATATCTGCTTTTTTTTTTCAGCGACTTTTGGAGTTGCATGCACTAGCATCGGTGCACAACGACCCAAATTTCTTAGATTTCCTGGAAACTGAGTACTTACAAGAACAAGTGGATGCTATTAAAGAAATAGCCGATCATATAACAAATTTAGAAAGAGTTGGGGAAGGTCTAGGCGTGTATGTCTTCGATAAAGAACTTAGAGATTAACCCTTTGCACTCCAAGCGATTTTGTTGCAGAATGTGCTACGATGAATCATGAATTAAAGAATGTAGTGCCTTTGAAAATCTTGGGCTCGAGAAAATTTATCTTATCTGATCTCTACCAAAAAGTTCTCTGAACTTCTAACGTCCCCTCAGAGGGGACATCCGAGTGCAAAGAGTTAAAACCTTTTTTGTAAACGCAATATTATTGACCCAAAAACAATTAAACATACTGTGCACTAGCAGATCCTATATGGATGACTGAATGCGTAAAAAAAATCAAAGAATACAGTATATAATATTAACCTGATACCTATGTATTAACCTAAAAAAAATTGCCAAATTCTACTTCGTAATATTAAATACTTCCTAGATAAAACTAACGAATTATAACAGGATGTCAATTTCAAATTAAATCCGTACTTTCGAATATCGTAGCAAGTATGACAAGTGCAATGTATTACACAACATTTTTCGAACTTTATTTGTGTAAACATTAATAAATATTAATGCTTGATGTTTATTTTTACTCTGTGTAATAACCCATACTATATCGCCTTCGAAAAAAAAAAATGCGAATCTGTCCGTCAAAATGTTGCACGAATCTTTAAAGAATTTTTTAAATTGTACGTGATTAAATGTAAGCATGTTAAAGTTGTTTTTCTATAGAAAAATTCTTGGTAACGAATTGTGTCCGCGTGTTCGACAATTATACAATGAAAGGTAAATGCTCGCGTTATTGTTGAACAGATTTCTCGAATCGAGTATACTAATTCAAAAACATTATTAATATTTTTGGAGAATTCTAGTATCGATTGCGCACGAAGAAAATGCAATTCAGAATTACATGTTGCAAGATCCTATGCCACATCTTGTTCGGATAAAAAATCCAATGGATCTTGCATTAACAAACCTATGGAATGGCCGAGTGGAAATCTGGCCAAATTCAAGTTTCACGAGGAAACTGAAGCTATATTAAACGAGCAGATAAATGCTGAACTAAAAGCTTTTTATTACTATCTTTCTATGGTGAGGTTAAAATATTAACAACTATCGTCGAATAGAAATCAAGTGGCTACTCGAGGCTTTCTAGATGATTTTGATGTGTTGTCCATTTTAAATAAGAATGGAGTAGATGTAAACGGTTTGTTACGTAAACAGACTTTCATTAGTCCGTTGTGGCGTCATATAAAGCATCTATCGAAAAATTGTTGCAAAAGTTGTAGCCACACAAGAAACAAAGACATTACTATATACAGGGTGTCCCAAAAATGTTGTAACACCTTGAAAGGGGTGGTTCGGGAGGTGATTTGAAACAACTTTTTCCTTAGCGAAAATGTTGTCCGAGGCTTCGTTGAGGAGATATTAACGGAAAACACTGACCAATCAGAGCGCGCGTATACCGTTGGAGCGCCCGCAGTAGGCGTGGCTACGCGCTAGACGGCCGCGCTCATACACTACCGCGGTCGCTCTAACGGTATATGCGCGCTCTGATTGGTCAGTGTTTTCCATTAATATCTGCTTAACAAAGTCTCGGACAACATTTTCGCTAACGAAAACGTTGTTTCAAATTACCTCCCGAACCACCCTTTTCAAGGTGTTACAACATTTTTGGGACACCCTGTATATAACTTGTATAAATTCTATTGTATTCGAACCTATTCGTGAAATAATCTCATGTTGACAGAACTTTATCATAGTCACGTGATTTTAGTCACGCGAGCTCGTACCGAACAAGAAAATAGTCTTTACGTACGTAAAACGAAATATTTTTCACAGGCAGCATATTTTGGTCGCGTCGACGTAGCATTGCCGGGTTGCGAATCGTTTTTCATGCAAATGCATCACGAGGAGCACGAACACGCTCTCAGATTTGTAAATTACGTTAAAATGCGTGGAGGTCGTGTTAATTTGTCCTCGGTACAGCATCCCACCGATCAAGATTGGAAATGTCCGCTGCATGCGTTCAAAGTAAATAGTATTTACGAATTATTATTATTGCTATTACATACAACATGGAATCTGTTATATTTTTCATTGTATTATACTATTGATACTTAAATATTTGAAGAATATGAATTAATTAATACATATGTAAATCTGTTTAGACGGCTTTTGATTTAGAAATTGAAGTAAGTGAGAAGCTGGTAGCAGTAAATACAATAGCGGAGAAGCATAACGATTTGAATGCAAGTGATTTCATAGTTACCGGATTTATGGAAGATCAAATGAAGAGTGTTAACGAAATGGCAAAATTTCACGCTGTTCTGTCTGGAATTGGCGATCACGCATTGGCACGTTTTATGTTTGACAAAGATTTACTTCAGAATCATGTTCAATCGAAATTCAATGTTCTCCGAGTAACATCGCGCCAAAATGATATTGAGAAGTAGGTAGTACCAATTAGATAAAAAAATTTGACACCGCGCAAATGCATGAAATACAGGCCTCTGATTGGGGGAATGAAACGGTGGCGTACATTCTACCCAATCAGGCATTTGATCGTGTAGCCACAATTATTTTAACCGACTGTACATATTTCCGTTTCGATATCAAATTACGAGAGAAGTTATTTTAACCATCTTTGTTAAACGTGTAATTGAATATTTTTTATATTGTATCTTTATGTTTAAAATAAATATTTTGTTAATTTCCCGATTTATTTACTGATGCACTAGAGAATGTATGTGTGTTCAGGAAACAGCCATTTTGGACTACCAATCGTGCATGTAAAACTTGCCATATGGACGTAGCTTTAATATTGCTTCACCTGTTTCTAGTAAAATCGAGAAATAAGTTGCGACTCTGAATACCAACCTATGTATTTTTTTCATTATTGTAGCTGAATTTATCTAGTAGTACCTACTCTCCGTTGGTGGCGCCAGTTTACATACATTTGTGACAATGAATATCAGCCGTTTCGTCGCCCTCGTGTCATGTGCAGAACAATTTCAACAATTTAGTATGGCGGAGTTAGTTCTTGTAGTTTCTTGTATCGAATGTGAGAAGATCAACGACGATAAAACGAGACATTGTGACGGATAAGTTTTTTTTGTCTTTTGTATTGAAAACTACATTTGTGTTCGATTAAATTTTTAATTTATAGTAAATTTACGAGAATAGAAAGATTTTTATCAGGATATTGTTCATCAGGTGTTGTGTGCGTGTGATATCAAGTTTAGATTAGTGAAAGAAATTGCAATTATTGCTAACGCGTAATTTACCCTAATTTTCAAGAAAGAATATTTGCCATATCGTTGTATTCGTTCCTGATTACCCCGAATGGGCGGGATTACTTGTTCATGGTTTGAGGGTAAGTTTAAAAATGGCTAGCGATTTGTCGAGCGGATGTACAGAAGCAATCGAAGTGTTGGACGAGAAAGAAGAAGGTGAAATATCCTTGGAAGATGTAAGTTCTTCCGAGGAAGGACATTTAAATTACGGATACGAGAGTAGGCTTGCTCAATGTTCCAACTGTTTGTCAACCCAACACAATACAACGTGGTGCACTGCTCCTGCCAAGTTTTATCACTCCAAAGGCCCTAATAGAAGAGGTAAGTTAAGTAACAGAATTTTCCAATCTATATTTACGAATAGAGCAAATATTAATACGTAATGATTAATTTAAAGTTTAGTTAACTTGTAGAATTTGCTTTGTACATTTAGTTTTATAACTTTATTTAATAAATAGATTAAATTATAATATAAAATATTTTACTTTTGTTTTACAATAATATATAAAATTATGTACTTGATACTTTTACTTTAGAATATAAAAATATGAAATATTTTAATACGTAATGTACTATCACATGCGACATATCATGTTCTAATCAAGTAGAAGTTGACCTTATTCTACAAGATGCAGTCCAGGGAAAAGAAAATCGTCACCAGACCAAAGATTCGGGATGCATCGGAATGAAGCACGTAGCATCTACACTTCAAGAAAAAAATGATGACCTTGTACCTATCTCAAGCGACAGCGATATGGAAATTGTTGGTCTTGCAGATAACTCTAAACAAATTAGAATACGTTCCTCTTCAAAGACTAGAGTCAAGAAAAAGAAGAAAAAGAAAAGAAGTCATGTATCTATGATGACATTGGATGATTTAGTTTCTTCATCTACTGTAGACGTAGCTCTGACAGAATGTGCCAGTACTTTAAAACATGATACAACAAAAGCTACTTCCTTAAGATCACATCACAGAGAGATGAGTCCTGCTCGTAGAACTAGATCAAGAGCAGAGCCAAGATCACCTTCTAGAAGGCATAAATTTGTAGTGAAACCACATTCTCCTTTCAAAAGATCTAAATCTCCCGTTGTTCACGCTAGATCGCCGACGATAAGAAGGTCTCCAAGAAGACTTAAATCTCCTAAAAGATCACCATACAGATCACCAGGAAAAACGATATCCAGAAAACCTTCGCATCTGGAATTAACGTCGTCGTCTCATAATTATATTGATACACATAAACAATTACTTAAAAAAGTCAGACATTTAGATTCAGTAGGAATTCACTCATTAGAGGAAACTTTAAATAAAAACAAAGAGCATGCATCTTCCTTGAAAGAGAAATTAACAAATATGATGAAAGGAGTCTGTGACAATAATAGCAATACCACAAATTTATCTAAAATAAAATCAGATGCAGATGATGAAGAAGATCTAGCATTACTAAGACAAAAAGCACTTGAAACAAAGCAACAAAAATCAAGTAAACAGAACGAACAGCAAAAGAGTGAAGCTGCAAAAAAAGTAATTGCAAATATAGATGATGATCAAGATGAAGAAGACTTAGAATTAAGAATGATTGCACTTCGTTCTGCAGTATTAAAAAAGCATCAGAATAGAGTTCAAAAGGGTATTAAATCAGGGAAATATAAGAAGTCTAATATATCTCGCAGTGAAAGCCCATTTACTCAAAGCTTTTTGGATAGTATTCCTATTCCTGGAGAAGAATTTCTACATTTTACATCTCCACCACATACTCCACCCCCTATGAGTGAAAATAATCAAACAGAAGATATGGACCTAGATACAGATGTGGAAAGGGAGAAAGAGAAATTGCCATATTCTCCAACAGATAAAATTACTGTTGATATACCTATGGATACAGAGTTACTGGGTATTCAACCATCTGATGTGTCTTTCATTAGTGTTAACGAAGCAAATAGTAGTCCCGATTTTCGTGGATCTACAACTCCTAATCAGGATGATCGAAAATCTTATCAGGGAAAAATCATTGAAAATCGAAGTTATTTACCAAATGTTGCATATTATACATCACCACAAAATGCAACAACAAATACAAGTCTACAATATTCACCAACAGATCCACCAGAAACTGTTAAATCAGATTATATAAAAGTACATCATTCTTACATAGATGTTCACAAAAGTAACACATCCCCCTTGGCAGATAACAATGCAAGTCAGGAAATACCTTATTCTCCAACTGATACTCCTGTATATGATCCAGATCTATCACAGATGCTTCCTCAAACTGTTTGTTCATTTGCT